ATCTCACTTTGTAAAGAAAATTTTTGTACATCAAGAATAGAAAATATACCACTTATGGGACTTCCTTATGAAAATAAAATAAACATTCCAATATATAAAGCGATTGTTACTTTGCTTCCCATGGATGACACCCCTTTTCCCCTTGGTGATGGAGCTGCTAAAGATTACTAAAAGCCCATCTCTTCTGAGCAGTGAGAAACCCTGAAAAGGGGTTGATCTCCCAGAACCCTCAAGATAGAGGTATTCCTTCCATTTGGGAAATTAACCACAAATTGAGGTTCTCTTCCTGCATTTATTCTCCAGACCAGGAAAATCCAGGAAGAGAAGATAGGTGGGATTTTTGCTAAGTACCATCTAACAAGGTTAACAACAGAAGCTGGTAATATTCAGTAAGGAGACATTCTATAATGGAATTTTCAAGAAGTGAAGTTGATCCACCAACAAAAGCTTGATCTTAGCAAACATTCTCTTCTTACAGCAATTTCCCAGTATCTTTGCATATCAATCAGTAACCTGTCTGTCTTGGAGCCAGCAACCTTGCTGTGTTACAATTTTTTTTATCTTACAACAGAGACTATATAGCCTGGGGATAACTTCCTATCCTTTGCAAGGTTAATATTTGAATGGTTGCGGAGAAAAAGGAACTCTCATACATTGTTGGTTGGAATGCAAACTGGTGCAACCCCTATGGAAAATGGTTTGGAGGTTCCTCAAACAGTTGCAGATAGATCTACCATATGACCCAGCTATCCCACTGCTGGGAATATATCCAAAGGAATGGAAATCATCAAGTCGAAGGTATACCTGTTCCCCAATGTTCATTGCAGCACTCTTTTAAAAGTGTAGGCAGGGAGTTAAGCATAATGAATTTGGTTCTAGGACAAAATAAAGAAAGTGAAAGGCAGAGAGAGAAAAAATTACGGATCAAATACATTTTGTTTCAAATTAAAATGTGATATGGAAGTGTGGACAAAAACAGCAGTTATATCATGACAGATAAATGTCACATAGTTCAAGGAAATCACTGTTACATTTTAAATCACTGTTACATTTGTTCACATAGTTCAAGAAAAACACAATCTGTTAGTGTGCTGGAAGTCACAGCAGGTACTGTGGGTTGTTTTCCCCTCTGATATAGTATGGATTTAAAATATTTACATTTATCATAGAATGAAGATAGACCTTGAAATAGCGTCTGTGTTGACAAAAATAATCACTTAATTCTCCATTCAGGATAGTGTTAAAGAAAAAAAAAAACTTAATAAATAAAAAATGCACATGTAATGGTAAGAAAAGTCTGATGTTGCTATATTACAAGATCAAGGTACAAGAATCAAAGGGAAACATTAAGAAAAGTATAGATAAGAAAGGTACTCAAAGGCACAATTTTGAGTCTGCACATTCACCAGTAGGTTAGAGTGGACATTTAAGGAGTGTTGATTTCTCAAGGGTATTCTCACTTCTGCCAAAATCTGGAAGGATTGGTGGGGTGGGTGTCCAGGCGACCTGAATTCCATAAGTTGACTGTCAGGAAAAACACCTTTGACCATTGTCTGGAAAAAAATAAATAAATAAACAAGTGGTTAGTGGAAACATAAAGTTATACATTCAGGTTACTNAAAAAAAATCTTAATAAATAAAACATGCACATGTAATGGTAAGAAAAGTCTGATGTTGCTATATTACAAGCTCAAGGTACAAGAATAAAGGGAAACATTAAGAAAAGTTATAGATAAGAAAGGTACTCAAAGGCACGATTTTGAGTCTGCACATTCACCAGTAGGTTAGAGTGGACATTTAAGGAGTGTTGATTTCTCAAGGGTATTCTCACTTCTGCCAAAATCTGGAAGAATTGGTGGGGTGGGTGTCCAGGCAACCTGAATTCCATAGGTTGACTGTCAGGAAAAACACCTTTGACCATTGTCTGGAAAAAAAA